TGCAGGCTGTGCTGGAGCGGCCTGTGGCCGAGGTGGCGGCCCCTGTCGTTGGAGAACTGAGACTGGAACTGCTGGCCCCCGCGGAGCTGAGCGCCCTGGAAGAGCAGAACCGGCGGGAACCCTTCATCCCGGTGCGGACGCGGCAGCTTGGGAACCCCGGGAACGGGGGTCCCATGGCCCGCCTGCCCTGAATCTTTGGGGTGGGGGTGAGGGGGTCCTGCGGGACTGCACAGTGACTGGCGTGTCCTGTCCCTGCAGGTGGAGCAGCTCGTGGAGGCCTGGAAGTGCCACGCCCTGCGGGGAGGAACCGTAGCCCGAAGCACCCCGTGCCGCCGGAGGAGGGGCACTCTGCCGCGGGAGCACCACCGCTTTCTGGATTTGCCTCTCAAGTGACCCAACTCCACAACGAAGTGGGGAAGAGTTCCGAGCCTGCCTGGCTGAGCATCCCGGACTACAGCTCCCGACATCCTCTGCTCCTAGAGCTGGCTTCCGGCCCCAGCATGCCCCGCGAGCCAGGCACAGAGGGCAGGATTATCTGTGGGGGCCCCATGCCCTGTGGGTGGAGCCTGGGGTGTGAGCCGTGGGAGGACTGGGGTTAGGGTTTGTAGACCCCACAGTCAGAGTCCTTAACTCTGTGCCCTCAGTCTACGCTCGGCCCCCAGGCCTGTCCTTCCCGGTGCGGGTTTGCGCTGATGACCCTGAGCCGCTCAGACTACGTTTATAATAATAAACCAGGTTGTTGGAAAAAGAGTTCTGCCTAAATGTGCCACCAACACCTCGGGCCCAGTTCAAATGGAGCTTCCCGTCTGCCCTGTGTCCCATTTGTGTGGGTGCCCACGCCCAGAATCTTGGATTGCTTCCTCATAGCTGTGAGGCCAGTTCTATTTCTCTCTCTGTCTCTGTCTCTCTGTCCTGTCTCTCTTCTTTCTTGTCCTGGGGGCTTGAACTCAGGGGCCTGGGCACTGTCCCTGAGCTGCTTTTGCCACAGCACCAATTCCGTTTTTTTTCTATTTATGTGGTACTGAGGAATCGAACCCAGAGCTTCATGCATGCTAGGCAAACACTCTATCACTAATCCACATTCCCAGCCCCCAGTTCTACTTTCTAAGAGACCTTTCAGTTTTCAGTCTTTCTTAACTTACTGGTCTTTTTCACTTCACCTCCTCTTTCCAGTTCAAAATACAACAGTTTTTAATTTCAGGATACTCAGAACTCCCATATTCTTCCTATATGTAGCAACCTTGACTTTGGGAGTCTAAGGTTTCAGACTTATATTCTTGTTACTGAAGATGTCTCCTACCACTTCTTTCATTCTTGACCATAGTTACCTTTCTGCAGTCCTGAATTGCCCTAAACCCCAGGCCTTATCACATAGTACAATTTATTACTATTTTTTTAATTCTCTGGCACTAAGGTTTGAACCCAGAGCCTTGCACTTCCTACTTGGCTTTTCTTTTTTGTCGGTCGTGGGGCGAGGGCTCTACAGCTTGAGCCACAACACCACTTCCGGTTTTCTAGTGGTTTATTGGAGATAAAGAGTCTCAGGGACTTTCCCTGCCTGGGCTGACTTTGAACTGTGATCCTCAGATCTCAGCCTCCTGAGTAGCCAGGATTACAGGCGTGAGCCACTGGCGCCCAGCTGGCTTTTTTTTTTTTTAATTGTGAAAATACCATACAGAGGGGTTACAATTACATGGGCAAGGTAATGAGTACATTTCTTATGAAGCTTCCCATCTCCTCCCGGCTTTTTTTCAAGGCTGGTGCTCTACCACCTGAGCCACACCTCCACCTCCAGCTCTATGCAGGTTAATTGGAGGTAAGAATCTCTTGTATTTGTCTGCCCTGGCAGGCTTTGAACTTCTAGCCTCAAGTCTTAGCCTGAGTAGCTAGGATTACAGGTGTGCAATTCTGTAAATGTTTAACGAGTGACTTTATTAAATCCCACTTAATTCCTTTTTTTTTGGTCCGGTTGTGAGGCCTGAACTCTGGGCCTGGGCGCTGTCCCTCAGCTCTTCAGCTCAAGGCTAGCGCTCTACCTCTTGAGCCACAGTGTCACTTCCGGCTTTTCTTTTTGCTTATGTGGTGCTGATGAATCGAACCCAGGGCCTCAGGCATGCAAGGCAAGTGCTCTACCACTGAGCCACCTTCCCAGCCCTTCCTTAACATTTTTTAACTTTTTTTTTTTTTTTTGGGGGGGGGGGTCTGGTCATGGGGCCTTAACTCTGGGCCTGGGCGCTGTCCCTCAGCTCTTCAGCTCAAGGCAAGCGCTCTACTACTGAGCCACCTTCCCAGCTTTTTTAACTTTTTTTAATTATGAGTTTTCTGAGGTAGGAGACAGCGAGTGAGAAGGTATGCGCAGTTAAAACAGTCCCAAGTCAGCAGGCAGTTCCATCGTCTCAAGATTGGTCAGGTGGATGGACTGAGGCCCTTAAATCACTGCTATCTGAGAAATGGTCTGCTGCTTCCTAAGATCCCAAGAGAAGTGGCTTACCGCAGAGAATCACACAGGAAAACAAACCTGTGACACTTGCCCTGAATAGTGCTACTCACTTTCACCATTCTCATCATCAAAGTACTTAGTTTCATGAAAGCTGGAACCACCTCTACAGAGCTATAATTACTTCTTTTACCCTTTCAAAACCCAGATTGGTAATAAACCCCAAAAAACGTCTTTTTTTTAACCAACAAATGGAGCCTCGTTAAAGACGAGGCCTCAAAAAATTAGTAATGACTCAGAATTGTTCCTCTCCACGGAAATCTTTAGTAAAAGGCGAAAGATTTATACGATCTGAAGAGAAACCAGAGTATGTCGTTGCTGTTCTCCTCCCAACTCTCCCTAGAGACCTAACACTTAACACACTTATGGTTGTTTGGTGCCTGACCTTCAGGTACTACAAGGCTGTAATTTACACCTACGTAAAGTTCTAGAAGGTGGTATGGCCTATGGTGGTGAAGAAACACATTCGGGAATGGAAGGGGGTGCAATTCAAGCACCACCGAAGCCGTGAAATCGTGGTGCACCATGGGTATGCAAATTAGACGGGTCTGGGCAGGTTCGCGGTAACAGCTGCAGGGACCCTGCGGGGCCACAGGGGGCGTAGAACTCCAGGAGCCAAGAGTCAGGGCTTTCACTTCCCTCGCCTTTTTTTCTGAAAGCAAGAGGGCACTTGCTGCCGCCGGTGCCTGATGCCATCCAGGTGTCTCTCACTGAGCTGAGGGTTTTGTGGTTACCTTCAGGGAAGCCCAAGTCCTAGGGTGACAGGAGTTAAAACGGCCAAGCCTAAGCACATAAGAGGCAGATCATCACCTCTTCCTGGAGATTCCTCTCACAGGGGACTGGAAATTAGGACAAACAGATGTGTCTAGGGTTAATTTACATTACTGGGCAATATATAATAATTCAGCCTTGTCCACAAAGTGGAGTATATGTAAAAGAGGTTGTCTAGAGGCAGAGGCTAGCTCTAGCAGGGCCTGGAGGGGACTTGACCTGCTCTTCTTAGGGTTGGAGAATCATATGGAAGGTGTTGAAGCTGAAGCATAGAGCCCTAGTAGAACTGAGACTCGTTCCTGTGACCAGATGAGGTCAGTGCTCTAAGACAAACTGCTCCAGGGATGCTCCAACTTTCCACTGGAATCCCTTCAGAGGAAAAACTTTCAGCATAGCTAAATCTAAACAAACTTCAATAGTAAACTGAGATCACTTACTAGATACAGGGCTATTTTTATGCTTATTATTTTTGCATGGTTGGGGATTGAACCCAGGGGTTTTGCACATGCTAGGTAAATGCTCTCTCAGCTACACCCCAACCCTCTTGTATAATTTCATTTAAGATCCTGAAAGGGTGCTGGGTGCCAGTGGCTTACACCTCTAAATCCTAGCTATTCTGGAGGCTGAGATCTGAGGATCATGGTTTGAAGCCAGCCCAGGCAAAAAAAAAAAAAGAGAGAGTCTCTTGGACTTTTCCTGCCCAAGCTGGCTTTGAACCGCAATCCTCAGATCTCAGCCTCCTGAGTAGCTAGGATTACCAGTGCCTAGCTTCCTTGTTTCAATTTTTATACTAAGCTTTTACTGTAGACCCTACTACCAAGTATATGGCAAAAATTGACTCTGAGGTTTTTTCAGATCTTTCCCACCCACAACTCAACAAGCCCCCAAGACTCTAGGCCCTGGATACCACCTGAACACTTCCTACACTTAATCCTCTTTTACAAATTCCCAATTCTGAAGAAAAACCATCAGCCATTTAAGATAAGTTAGAAGATAAGATAGAATATATTTCTTTAAAAAATAAAACTTTCAGCAAACTAACATCTATATATACTACAAAAATAAACATCTTCATATAAATAACTTATGTGGTAAGAGGTGGTCAGGGATATAGAAGGCCTCCCCAAAAGTCGTCATCAAGCAGTGATGGGCTAGGACTGTGTGCTACGAAACCCCTCTGCTGGGTGGTGACAGTGTGAGGCGGGGGTGGGGGGGGGGGTGGGGGGGGGGTGGGGGGGGTGGGGGTGGTGGCCCAACAGGGTTGCACTGCAACCTGAAGTGCTGACTGCCATCCCCACCTGGACAGATATGGGCACACAGGGGCCCCCATGTGCCAGGATGCTCTGAATCTAGGTGCGGCTGTCTGTCATCAGGGTAGTCTGATGTCTGAGACAGGGGAGAGGATGCAAACAGCAGCAGACCCTCTGGGGTCCATCTTGCCTTCTACGCTCCACCATTGCTTTCCAGTGACTTCATGTGGTCCAAGCAGGGTCTCCTTGCTTTGGCTGTTCCTTTGTTGGTTTTTTTTTTTTTTTTTTTTGGGTCCGGTCGTGAGCCTGAACTCTGGGCCTGGGCGCTATATCAGCTCAAGGCTAGCACTCTACCACTTGAGCCACAGCACCACTTTGGCTTTTTTTTCTGCTTATGTGGTGCTGAGGAATCAAACTCAGGGCCTCATGCATGCAAGGCAAACGCTCTTCCACTGAGCTACCTTCCCAGTCCCTGGCTGTTTCTTCACTCAGTGGTTGGCTCTAGAACCGAAGTTGCTAGAGCCACTGTCAGCTGGGGACCATGTGGGCTCATCAGAGGCTGGGTGGATGTAGGCACCAGGTAGAGGGGGTGGGTGAAGAGCCACGGTCATGGAGGTAGTCACTCTGGCAAAGTTCTGGTGGAGGGTGGGGGATGCCCCCCACCCAAGTCTGCCTCCCTGTGGAGTTGCAAGGCCCAGGACCCTTGGGCCCTCCTTGTACATCTGTACCACCTGGGGGAAGACAGTGGTCCTAGTGAGTCTGAGGGTTACTGGAGCTGCAACATCTTTCAGCACCTCCCCTCTGGTGAGTACCATGAATACTGGTGAGCTGAGATCTTTCTTCTTCTTTTTTTTTTTTTTTTGTTGGTCATGGGGCTTGAACTCTGGGCCTGGGCACTGTCCCTGAGCTCTTCAGCTCAAAGTTAGCACTCACCACTTGAGCCACAGCACCACTTCTGGTTTTCTAGGGGTTTATTGGAGCTAAGAGTCTCACAGTTTCCTGCCCAGGCTGGTTTTGAACTGCAATTCTCAGATCTCAGCCTCCTGAGTAGCTAGGATTACAGGCGTGAACCACCAGTGCCTGGCTAAGCTGAGACCTTTGTTGGCCTCTAGCAGGGTAGGAGCGATCACGGGTAACAAGATGTCAATACCTGGGCAAACCCTGCACCTTGCTGAGTCCTAAAAGGTGAAGGTAGGCTCCACAGAAGGCTGAGGGGCCGATATAGGGTATCTTGGAAAAGGAGGTGGCTAGTAGCAACTGTTAGGAAGGACCGGCTGTTGGCTACTGATGGCATTTAGTAACAGCTCTGCCCTTTCTTTTGCTTATCCCCATCCTATCCATGACAGTAGGAACAAAAGGAGGGTGTGCTTACCTCAGGTGGGGGGCCCAGAATGGAAAGCAGCACAGGCAGCAGCATGAGTCCATGGAGGAGGCCCAAGAGTGTGAGTACTGTTAGCACCAGGAAGAAGTACCTGGGAGGTTGTGGGGCATCAGGCTGGGCAGGCCCTGAGGCCAACGGGGCAGGCCCACTGCCTCCTCCCATCCCTCCATACCTTACAATGAAGTCAAAGTTGGAGCCAGCAAGCATGAGCAGACCCAGCAACGTGGAGATAGCCCCATCGGTCACAGGGGCAAACGTGCGCTCTAGCGCTCGGGTAGCCCGAAGGTCCCGGCTACCCTGGGTGGTCAGGAAGCCCTGGAGGAAGAGAATGGTCTGAGAGCTCCTTCTCTGCCAATCATGGCCAGCTCATCCATATTCCCCAGAGAAGCTATGCTTGGCCCATGGAAGGCCAGGTGAATCAAGTTCACAGAATTGTCTGAGGGATATCCACTTAGGTGACATCGTATAGTGTTATGTGGTGACATAGAAAAACATCCAGAAAGCTGGGCTCCAGTGGCTGACACCTGTAATCCTAGCTACTCAGGCGGCTGAGATCTGAGGATCGCAGTTCAAAGACAGCTTGGGCAGGAAAGTCCATGAGACTCTTATCTCTAATAAACTACTCAGAAAACCGGAAGTGATGCAGTGGTTCAAGTAGTAAAGTACTAGCCTTGAGCTGAAGAGCTGAGGGATAGTGTTCAGACTCAGAGTTCAAGCCCCATGACCAAAAAGAAAGAAAGAAAAAACATCAGAAGAGTCTAGGCAAGCTATAATCTACTGCTGGTATTGCCATCTATGATTGCTTTTGTGGTATAATGGCAGAATTATAATAGAAACTGTATGGCTTGCTAAGTTGAAATATTTACAATCTGGTCCTTTACAGAAAAAAGAAATGTACAAACTCCTGGTGTAAAAAGGTGGATGTCAAGGTATTAGTCACTTCTCAGCTGGCATTGCAGAGAATTTTGAATCTGTTTTTGTTATGATTTTGAGTTACATGCTGGGATCAAACTCAAGGCCTTGTCCTGTCAAGCAAGTACTCTACCACTGAGCCATACATACCTCAATCTTTTTGTGTGTGTGTGTGTGCTCGTCCTGGAGCTTGAATTCAGGCCATGGGCACTGTCTTTAAGGTTTTTTTGATCAAGGCTAGTGCTCTACCACTTGAGCCACTGCTCCACTTAGGCTATTTGCTGGTTACCTGGAGATAAGAGTTTTATGGACTTCCCTGTGGGTGCTGGCTTTGAACAGCAGTCCTGCTATCTCAGAATCCTGCGTAACTAGAGTTATAGGTACCTGGCTCCTTTTGTTTTATTCAAGGAGTATATCTTGTTCTGTTATTATAGGGTTGGGTATTAGAGATGAAGAGATGTTTGTTGGGCCTTGCCAGGTTTATGCTGGTGACTGGAGCTGGTCTGTGTGCCCCTTTCTCTGCCAGAGAATGCGTTGTTTTGGGAGAGGCCTGTACCCTCCTCAGTTTTATATTCTATAGTAGCATTCTTCCTCCGTACCCACACTGCCATGCTGCTACTATCTCTTTTCTTGATCTCTTTTTTTTTTTTTTTGGGGTCCGGTAGTGGGGCCTGAACTCTGGGCCTGGGCGCTGTCCCTCAGCTCTTCAGCTCAAGGCTAGCGTTCTACCACTTGAACCTCAGCGCCACTTCCAGCTTTTTTTCTTTCTGCTTATGTGGTGCTGAGTAACTGAACCCAGGACCTCATGCATGCAAGGCAAGCGCTCTACCACTGAGCCACCTTCCAAGCCTCTTTCTTATCTCTTGTCCTAGAGAATTATTTGTCCCTGGAGATGAGAATGTAGCACATTGGTAGGGTATTTTATTTATTTATTTATTTATTTATTTTTGCCAGTCCTGAGGCTTGAACTCAGGGCCTTAGCACTGTCCCTGAACTTCTTTTGCTTAAGGCGAGCACTCTACCCTTAAGCCACAGCACCACTTCCAGCTTTTTCTGTTTATGTGGTACTAAGGAATTGAGTCCAGGGCTTTTGGTAGTATGTATGAGGCCCTAAGTTTGACCTCTAACACTGCAGTAAAGAAAAAAAGACTTGAAGATGTGTGCCTGTAATCCTAGCTATTCAGGAGGCTGAGATAGAAGGACTGCTGTTTGAAGCCAGCCTGGGAAGGAAAGTCCATAATTAATCACAATGGGCTGGAAGTGGAGCTATGGCTCAAGCGGTAGAACACTATCCTTGAGCACAAAAGCTCAGGGCCTGAATTCAAGCCCCAGGATCAGCAAAAAAGAGAAAAAGACTCACTGGCTCCTATTTTCCAACCTTCGATTCTCTCATTAACCCACTGTAGACAGGCCTTTGTCTCTTTTGTCTACTGAAATGGCTGATTACTTATTGACTTATTTATCGTCTACCTCTAAAATTCTTTTTTTTTTTTTCCCCAGTGCTGGGAATCAAGACCTTGTCTCAGGCTAGGCAAGCACAGGAATACTGAGTCATATCCTTAACATCTTTGCAACTGTGTCTCTAGGACACAGAAGTGCCTGGGCCACATTTGTTGAGTACTCAGCTGTCCCATCCCTCCCCTTGGGCCTGTGCTTACCAGAGCCACATGGACTGTGAACTCGACACCAATGCCCACAGAGGCCACGAGGATCACCACGGGGATGGCACTCAGCTTGATACCCAGGAAACCCATGATCCCAAAGAGCTCCACAGTCATCATCGCCAGGACCAGCACCTGAGGAGGGCAGGGCTCACCCATGGCTCCTGTCAGCAGGGGAGCTGGACTAGATAGGGTAGGGTTGAGGGGGCATACTGGGTCTCTGCTACCTCATTCCTGCAGGTACTCACTATGAGGCCAGCCATCCATGGGTTGAGCAGCAGCAGGGCGCAGACGAGGAAGGTACACACCAGCAGGACGCAGACAGCCAGCAGGAAGCAGCGTCGCAGGCCCAGATACTGCTCCCAGAAGAGGAAGGGGGAGCCACTGGGGTAGGCATGCACCCCTGCCTGGCCTGCCTCCGCACATGCTGCCCGGGCCCCCTCAATGGCCTCCACAAAGTCTGCAGTCTTCTGGAGGCCATGCAGCAGGAAGGGGAACTGGGCAAACTCCAGGGGTTGGGCTGCTGGGACTGTGAAGGGAAGGAGAGAGTGGGAAGAAGGAAGGGGACAGTGAGCAGGGGAAGAGGGGGCAGGGCTAAGGCTGAGGTTCTAGGTTGAGCTCCACCCACAGGACTCACTGTGAAGATTCTCCCCAGTGGTGTCATATTTGTCGTGTAGCCATTCTGGAGGTGGGGGATAGAAGTTGGCTTGGGAAGCTGCCAGACCCAGGGGGTCACTGCTCACCCACACTGTCAGCCCCACATAGAAGAACTCTGGTGGAATCAGTCCTTCCTCATCTACCAGCCTTCTTGTGGTCAGCTGCAGAGGCAAAGATGGCTAAAGGTTTGGACCATGAAGTCTAGAGCCTCTGTGCACCCTCGGAATGTTCTAATCCTCTCCAAACCTGGCTAAAATCCAGCGGCTCCTGGGCATTTCCAGTCTGGATGAGCAGCTTGTAGGCCAGTGCCCCATCCTCTGAGCCATTGCGGTAGGAATGACGGGTAATACGCCCAGCAGCCCAGTCCTGGTCAAATGCAGCCTGGATTCCTGGGGGAACACAGAGTAGGCCACAGTTGGCCTGTGGTTCTGTGAGACTTCTCCCTACAGCAGCCCTCCCCTCCCCACCTCCTGGCCTCTCACCCTGCAGCCAGTTGCGGTAATAGTGCAGCCAGGTCCGGGGTGCCTGGGTGGCAGGAGGGGGCAGCACAGCCTTGAGGGAACTGAAGCGCTGGTGCAGATCAAAGAGGGCACGTTGGGAGTGGGCGTAGTCAAAGCCACCCTGGGTCACCAGGGCCACCTCATACAGGGAGAAGTACCTGAGCTGGGCACTCAGGAAGGCATGTTCCTTGGTGCCTCGAGGTACCACATCTGTCAGGGACAGCCCGTCCTGCACCAAGGTGGTTCCGTAGAGGCTCAGGCCCAGAAGAGCCCCAAAGAACACCAGCACCATAGCCTGTGAGAAATGGCCACTAAGCCAGAGGCACAGGGCTGCCCTCCGGCCTTCAGGGAGTAGGCTGGGCCTGTTGCCCTTCTTGAGGCCCATGGGTGCTGAGCTTCTGTTCTGCTTCATCCACACTTACCTTGGCTTGTGACTGGAGCAGCAAGGGAGCAAACTGATAGCGGGCAAAATGGGCAAGATTCCAGCGGGCACAGGGTAGGGACTTGCAGGCTGCCTTCTGCCTTGTCCCCTCCTCTTGGCCCAGAAGGTCCCGTGTAGACCCCCCAGGGCTGAAAAGCTCAGAGCTCAGTGGGTCAGAAGGTGGGGGCACCAGGTGGTCTTGAGGAGGCAGAATGGTGACCACATGCTGGCTGCTGGCTTCACAGTGTGTAAATGCTTGCACTGTGGTTGTCAGGTGGGCGATGCCCACTGGTACTGTCCTCTCCCCCAGATCCTGGGGGAGAATCTGAATCATACGAGCAGAGCAGGGACTGGAAGAAACAGAGAGAGTGGGTGACAGCTCTGTGCTTTGAAATGCTGGCCAGGGGACATGCCATGGTGGGGTTAAGGAGAGAAAGGGGTGGGATGTGGGGGCAGTACCTAGAGAAGCAGCAGAGCACATCAAGGCGCTGGCAGTGGCGTCGGCGCAGATCCAGGCTGAGGACCGCTGGGAAGACAAGCATCACAGCTACAAAGCTACAGCCAACCACTATGGCTGCCTGGGAAGTAGATGGGAGCACAAGATGAAGCATTCCCCTAGCCCCATGCCCACCCCAGCCCACCTGTCTGTTCATGAGGCCTCACCTGCAGGGAGAAGGCCCGCAGGGCAGGGATGGGAACCAGGGCAGCCATGAAAAAGGCGACCATGTTGTTGATGGATGTGAGTGCAACACTGGTGCCGGTGCGCTGCAGGCACTCGCCCATGCGCTCCTGCCAGGACAGAGCAGGGACATGCCCTTGGGTCACTGGGGAGGAAGATGGTGGGTCTTCACAGTAGAGTGAAAGTGGAGGCTCAGGAAGTTGGGATGGCAGAGGTGGGACAACAGTACCACAGCAGCTAACATTTAATGAGTACATCGAGTATGTCACGGGCTGTGCTGAGCACTGACCTTGCGTTATCTCATTGACCCTCACAGCAACTCTTAGGGCACAAGCATGATCATTGTCTCCATTTATAGATGAGGATACTGAAGCACAAGGTGAGTGAACCAATAAGCCCAAGTTCACTTAAAACAAGTTTTGTGGGTTTTTGTGCCAGTACTGGGGCTTGAATTCAGAGTGTGGCCATTGTCCCTTAGCTTTTTCACTCAGTGCTGGTGCTCTACCACTTGAGCCATATCCCCACTTTTGGCTTTTTGGTAGTTAATTGAAGATAAGAGTCTTAAAGATTTTCCTTTTGGGTTGGCTTCAAACTTCAGTCCTCAGATCTCAGCCTCCTGAGTAGCTAGGATTACAGATGTAAGCCACTAGCACCTGGCTCCCAAGATGGTCTTAACCACCAGGCTAAACTATTTCAGATAAGCTGGGCTGGAAGATGGGGCCTTACCTGGAGAGGGGTGCCAGGTGGAGCCTCGGTGAATGCATGAGCCAGCAGGAATATGTCATCCACTCCAATGCCCAGAGCCAAGAAGGGTAGTACCTGAAGAGGTAGAGGGATGTCAGGCTGGAGGAGCTGTGTAGTCTGGTGATAGTTCCCAAAGGCTGCCTTGAAGTCCTGGTTTACCTGAGTAGTGGCAGCATTGAAGGTGATGCCAAGCAGGGCACAGAGCCCAAGGCCTGAAGCCACTGCCAGGGCCACCAGCAACACCCCAGCCAGGCCCACCGCACCCTGGGACTGAGCACAGTCCCACCGTAGCATTGTCACACAGGCATAGGCCAGCTGCAGGCAGAGAAGGGCACAGGGTTAGATTGGGGCTTTCAGGGTGGGTACAGGGTAGAGGTGGGACAAGGTGCCAGGTGCAGGACCCACCATGAGCAGATAGCCTCCTACCACCCGGGCAGCACTGACTTCAGAGAACGTGTGTAGGATGTCATCCAGGGTGGCAGAGGAGAAGGCATGGATCTGTTGGGAGGCATTCTCAGGAAGGGCTTCCTGGGCCAGCTGGAGAGACAGAGTGGATCTGATGGACAGGTGGAGGGAGGGGCCTTGGGCACTCTTCCTTGCCTTTGTCCACATTCACTGACCTGTACGAAGCGCCGCTGCCAGGCCTGCAGCACAGTGCTGGCCTGGTCCTCGCTCCAGCCGATGTCATGCGTCTGATAGTCACCACGGAAGTGCTCATACAGCTGGCGGGGACTCATCAGCAAGAAGGTGCTCTGCAGGGCCTCTGCCCTGGGGGAAGTGTGGGGAGGGGAGTTGCAGGATAACAAAGAGTTAGAGCTGGCTCAAATCCCCATGGAGGGTTTGCAGGACCTTTTGCCAGAGCTGTTTGGCATTAGTGTGGATTCCCACATGTGGCATCTCCTTGCCAACTCTCAGGGGAGGCCCTACCTCAGCAGCTGTCCTTGGAGGTCTCTGGCCATGCCTCCCAACAGCAACTCCTCCTGCCAGTGCATGAATTTGTGGGAGAAGCCATGGCAGCCCCCATTCAGCTCCTGAGCCACATTGGGAGCCTAGAGGCAGACAGGAGAGAGGTTTCATACTCAAGACTCTGGTTGTGGAAAACAGGTGTCTGTGGGCTCATGCCTCTAGGGGTCAGTAGGCCTTAAGTATAGATGCTTGTTCTTCTGAGCCTCTGACTTACTCTGTAGAGTGAACAGGGAGTGTGCTTCAGGCAGAAAGCCACAAAGGGAGCAGGGCCTGGGAGGAACTAGCCTAACTATAGTGGGGATAGGAAAATGTACCTCACACAGGGCCATGTAGATATGTGGGATACTAGATGTGATATTAATGTATTCATGGTTACCTTTGTGTGTGCGTGAGCATGCGCAGGGCTGCGCGTCAGTCCTAGGGAGCTTGAACTCAGGGCCTGGGCGCTGTCCCAGAGCCTCTTTGTGCTTAAAGCTAGCACTCTACCACTTGATCCATAGTGCCATCTCTGGCCTTTTCTGAGTAGTTTATTGAAGATAAAACTTCTGGGTTGGCTTTGAATTGTGATCCTCAGATTTCAGCCACCTGAGTAGCTAGGATTACAGGTGTGAGCCATCATTGCCTGACTCACAGTTAGCTGTTTTGTTTCCCTGAAGAGTCTATTTCGATAAAGTCTAGCTTTAGGCTTGGTAAAGGAAGAACAGATCCATATGCCACTTGTGGGTTCTTTAGGAGAAATGAGTGGGTGGCCATGTCCAGGAAATGATGGGCAGAGCAATGAATGCTCTCTTAGAATAGAGAAACAAGTGAGGAGGAGGAGGAGAAAGAAGAGAAACAGCCTGTCTCTAACAGACCTGGTTGGAACTCACCTGTCTGCTGAGATGGTTGGGGGCACTAGGTGGGCAGTGGGTATCAGTAGGATCCAGGCAGGGCCGCCCCACATAGGCCTGGCCCACCTGTGCCTTGTCTAGCAGTTCCCGGAAGCCCTCGAGAGAGGCAAAGGGGCCTAGCTCCTCTAGCAGCTGTTCTGGATCCAGATTGGTCCACTGGATGTCAGGCCGACCCCTGGGAGAAGGCCCACGGTTAGGAGGATCAAAGACATTATTTGCCCTTCAAATAGCTGCTCTGGAACAAATACTGCACCACCCTCTTGTGTATAAGATTCAGCTTCTCAGAGTTGCCATGCTGTACCAGCCCACCAGGTCGCAGCAGTGAGCTGTGGATGGATTAGTAGGGACTGAGACAGAAGCCAGGACAAATGAACTTAACGCACAGAAAAACCCAGAAAAGCCCCATTGTCTGTACCAAGCTGTACATCCTTGGTAACGGACTTTCCTCATGTTCACGCTGGCTATTACTCTACTCTTGGTTTTAATATATTACCAGATAGGCACCTACATCTAATAGGTTTTCTTTCTAGTCTAGGCACTAGTTTAGCTAATACCTAGCTAATTCCTCTCAGGTAGGTCTCTCTTTGGGGATCTTTTTTTTTTTTTAATTATTATTATTTTTTTTAGTCCAGTCGTGGGCCTGAACTCTGGGCCTGGGCGCTGTCCCTCAGCTCTTCAGCTCAAGGCTGGCGCTCTACCACTTGAGCCACAGCACCACTTCTGGCTTTTTTTTCCTGCTTATGTGGTGCTGAGGAATCGAACCCAGGGCCTCATGCATGCAAGGCAAGCACTCTACCACTGAGCCACCTTCCCAGCCCCTCTTTGGGGATCTTTTTGTCCTTTGCTGAGATCTATCTATTCTCTTTTGTCTAAATGAGACAGGTTTTCCTCTCCTCCAGAGGTAAGAAGGGAGAAGTGACAACTTTGGGTAGCTCAGGCTTTGACTGACTCTGGCCTGGGAGTAAGACAACACTTTTTTTTTTTTTTTTCCATTTTGTTCATTAGTCAACACACTTTTCATCATCTTCACTCCCACCATCCCTTCTGTGGGGGAAGTACCTGGCAGGAGATAAAGCAAGAGCAGCTATAGCACTCACGGCAAGTAGGCGGAGCCTCCTTGGAGTTTGGCTCCCTCCCAGAAGCAGTCAAGTGGGGTGAGGATCACACAGGGAAACAGCTTCTCAATCATCTGCCAAGGACACCGGACACCCCAGGAACATCAGTCCTGTCTCTGGGCTCCTTTTCCCCAGGGACTCAGTAGTAGGATGTTCTGTAATCCTCCTCTCAGTCACAGTCCCACTCCCTGAGGAGTCTCTGGAGGTGAGGTCCTGCTCACCTTGCCAGCCCCACCTCCTCCTCCTCCTCAGACAGCTCAGGATACTCACCCGCTCAATCATTCCATTTTCAATAAGGGGAACTCCAGATTTGTAGCAGATTTTGTTCAGATCCCAGGACCTGAAATGGGTACAGATGATCTGAACAGAAGTGGAGATTCCACTCCACAACTCCCACAGCAGGCTTCACTCTCAGCCACTCAGGGGCTCAGCCGGACTCACTTTCCGTAGAGTGACACTTGCACTTTACTGGCAGTGAGGGCTGCGTGGAGGTGGAGGCCAAGTGCTTCAGGCGTGAGGATGTTCTCTCCCTCCTGGCGTGCAGTCTGAATCAACATCTGGGAGGTGTACGCAGCCTCCTCCCCCAGCTTCTCCTTGGTGTAACGCAGCTCCTGGCTTACCCGGCTGCCCACTGCCAGAGGAGAGAGAAAGCTGGGGAAAAGGGCCCATGGGGGGAATCAAAATCCTGGTGGTAGGTGGGATCCTATTATTGAGGGCTCCCCGGACAAGAAGTGCTGCTGAGTGAGAAGAGGCACTGCCTGCTCCCCGCCAGCGTTGCCATGGCTCAGGTGCACTCCTAAGCTCTTGCCCCTCTTTTCAGAATCTGGAGCTCTGCTAAGGAAGTGCAGAAGTGTTAGTTGCTCAGTTGGTTTTTGTTTGTTTTTTGGTCAGCCGTGGGGCTTGAACTCTGGGACTGGGAGCTGTCCCTGAGCTCTTCAGCTCAAGGCTAGCGTTCTACCACTTGAGCCACAGCGCCACTTTGGTTTTCTGTTGGTTAATTGGAGATAAGAGTCTCATGGAGCTGGGCAAAGGTGGCTCACGCCTGTAATCCTAGCTACTCAGGAGGCTGAGATCTGAGGATTGCGGTTCAAAGCCAGCCTGGGCAGGAAAGTCCATGAGACTCGTATCTCCAATAAACCACTAGAAAACCGGAAGTGGCGCTGTGGCTCACGTGGTAGAGTACTAGCCTTGAGCTGAAGAGTTGAGGGACAGTGTTCAGGCCCTGAGTTTAAGGCCCATGACTGACCAAAAAAAAAAAAAAGAGTCTCATGGACTTTCCTGCCCAGGCTGGCTTTGAACCGCAATCCTCAGATCTTAGCCTCCTGAGTAGCTAGGATTACAGGTGTGAGCCACCAGCACCTGGCAGTTACTCAGTTCTTGTGTGTCTAGAATTTAAGCATGAAACAGGTTGGCTGGGCTTGGGAGCAAAATTATGTGTGTATGTGTGTGTGTGTGTGTGTGTGCGTGCGCACCAATATTGGGTGAATAGGGAGAAAAAGAACAAGGAAAGAGGAACATCAAAATCAATGCATTTGCCATGAACTGGTAGCTCATGCCTATAGAGTCTGTGAGACTTTTTTTGTTGGTTATGGGGCTTGGATACTGGGCCTGGGCACTGTCGCTCAGCTCTTCAGCTCAAGGCTAGCACTCTACCACTTGAGCCACAGTGTCACTTCCGGTTTTTCTGGTGGTTTATTGGAGATTAGAGTCTCATGGACTTTCCTGATCAGGCTGGCTTTGAACCTCCGATCCTTAGATCTCAGCCTCTTGAGTAGCGAGGATTATAGGTGTGAGCTACCAATGCCTGGCTGTGAGACTCTTATCTCCAATAAACTATTCAAAAAAAGCCAAAAGTGGCACTGTGGCTCATGTGATAGAGTGCTAGCCTTGAGCACAAATAGGTTCAGGGACAGCGCCCAGGCCCTGAGCTTAAGCAGTAGGACTGGCAAAACCAAAACCAAAACCAAATCAACACATTTGTTAATTTTTTTTACCTTTATGAAAGGGAAAATACATATGTTTGTCTAATAAATACAAACCAAGTTCAAACCCCAGTACTTGAGAGCGAGTGAGCGAGCAAGAGAAAGAGAGAGACAGAGACAGAGACAGACAGACACAGACACTAAAAGAAAACTATGACTGGTTAACCAACATGGGAAAAAAGTCTACCTGATAACTAATTCTATAACCATACATTAAAAGCAGCAATGAGTTATTATCTACCAAATTAGCAAAAATTTAAAAATTAATGATTTTCGGTTGAACTGGAGTTTGAACTCAGGGCCTTTCATTTGCTGAGCAGGTGCTCTTTCACTTGAGCTACATCTCCCCTTCCCCGCCCCCCCAGCCCTTTTTGCTTTAGGCTATTTTCAAAACAGAATCCTGCTTTTTGCTTGAGCTGCCTTTGGATCTCAATCCTCCTACCTCTGCCTTCCAGGTAGCTGGAATTATTGGTGTATACCACCCTACCAAGCTTATTTGTTGAGATGATTTGATAACTTTTTCCCCAGGTTGGCCTCCAACTGTGATCCTCCTAATCTCTGCTTTCTAGGTATCTGTTGTTACAGTCATAGGCCACTGCATCCAACCAAAATTTAAAAATCAATAGCACTCATTGTTGGCTTACAATGGGAGATCTAAGGTCTCAGAGTCAGCTTGGTGATTAAGGCCCTGTGTCCTTACCTGTTTACAAAAATCTGTTAAGTTTCTATTTCCCTGATGTTGTATTGTTTTCCTGGTGTGACATCCAAATTCCCACCCCAGTTGCAACAGTCTCACTACACTTTCTCAGAATGTGACTCTCCTCCAATACCTGTGGTCCATGTAACAACTTTATAACATCTCTTCTTGGAACTGACCCTACCCCGCCAAATTACCATTGTCTACGTAATGTAACCCATGTGACTGCCCCCTAAAATTTGCTTAAATTCAGCCTACACTCGTCCATGGATGTTGCCTCCATTCCTGCTATGAGCAGCCTGGCAGGTCTGTCCACTAATATAGCCTTGAGCTTGTATTAGTCACTCTTGCTCACCTCTCCTTTCTTTCTTTCTTTCTTTTTTTGGTTGGTCATGGGTTTGAACTCTTAGCCTGGGCGCTGTCCCTGCACTCTTCAGCTCAAGGCAAGTGCTCTACCACTTGAGCCACAGTGCCACTTCTGGTTTTCTGGTGGTTAATTGGAGATAAGAGTCTCAGGGACTTTCCTGCCTAGGCTGGCTTTGAATCACGATCCCCAGATCTCAGCCTGTTGAGTAGCTAGGATTACAGGCGTGAGCACCAGTGCCTGGCTTTGCCTCTCATTTCTTACAGGAGAGAAATTTGGTATACCACTTTGTAAAAACCAATATTGCGATATTTATACCTGTTAGCGAAATGAGTCTCTTCCCATAGCTTAGTCTACTCCTTCCATTTTCCACAGTTTAGCATGCTCCCTTCCTAGGCAACACTAGGCCCATATAGTAAAAGCAGTAAATAATCAACTTCCAGCCCCCTTTACCTTGGGATGGCACTTCTCTGGGGGCAGCTACCACCATATAAGGCAACAAAAGCACCTTAGAGTGACCTTCAGGTCTGGCAGTTGCAGGACCAGTTATCTACTATTTGGACAGCAGCCATAAATCCTAGTCCACCATGATGAAGCTCCTGGCCCACATGTGCACACCAGGGTCTCCACCTCCTAGCCCCTTCTAGTTCCTCCTAAACATCCTAGGTTATGTAGGTCACCTCAGACAAAAGCTGGTGCTTCTTCTCACTTCTCCCTTGTGAGGAGTCTTGCCAACCCCTCTTTCCCAGCAATAAACCTTTCTTTATTCTCTGTAGCTGGATGTCTGGGTGGTTCTCTGGCAAAGTCTAATTAATCTTATTTAAGCCTTCAGTACCCCTAATCTCTAGCCCAAAAATTTAACCCATGAGGGCCTACCAGCTATTGTAGGGACTCAGGTTTTCTTTTCTGAGTGAACTGAGAATTAAGTAGGAGAGCACCAGTGGCTCATGCCTGTAATCCTAGCTAGGCTGAGATCTGATGATGATGGTTAGAAGCCAGCCCAGGCAGAAAAGTCCATGAGACTGTCATTTCCACCAAAAAAGCTGGAGCTGTGGCTCAAGTGGCAGAGCATCAGCCTTGAGCAAAAAAACTCAAGGACAGCACCTGGGCCTTTAAGTTCAAACCCAACCAGTGTACACACACACACACACACACACACACACACACACACACACACACACACACACACACACACACACACACACCCCAAAAGAAAAGAATTATGGTAAGTTTTGAGCTGAGGAGTGAGATGATCTGACTTTTTCACCACCTAGCACACAAATGAACTGGCCCAAGGAATAAGTCAGGAAAAGGTGTCCAGGCTCAGAGCAACAGGGTACTATCAATGGCTTGGAGTTTTGATACTAAGAATGAGTTAGGAAGAGCCAGACTGAATGCTGAAGAAGTAACTGAGTTAAATTATAGGGAGCCTGGAATACATACTAGATATAAAATATATTTGATCCTGGAGATTTGATCAAATCTGGAAGAAACCAATGGGGAGAGCAGGGGGATGTAGGCCAGTGGTATAATGCTTGCCATAAGCCCTGAGTTAGATCCTCAGAAACTGAAGAAAACAAACTTGTTATCCTCACACTGCATGGGAGTATGAGAGAGAGAGAGAGAGAGAGAGAGAGAGAGAGAGAGAGAGAGAGAATATGAATCTCTTCCCTCTTCTCCTAGGTAACAGACTGATTTTACAGGCTATTCCTTCAGAGACCAGAAGGTCAGGTTCCGCCCCAGCATCAGAGGTTGAAATTTGTGATGAAATTCTAAGAAGCCAATCACATAATTCCATTGCATTTGCCGAGTGAAGGATTTATGCTGAGGGTATTCTTGCCAGAGACTAAATGAGAATTCAGTGAGGGAGTTTTTGCTTATTTTTTCCTTACTTTATTTATTGCTTGTGCCAGTTGCCTTTTTTGCTCACAACTGGTGCTCTACCACTTGAACCATGACTCCAGTTCCAGCTTTTTGCTGGGTAAGTGGAGATAAAAGGCTCTTGGATTTGTCTAGCTGGACTGGCCCCATCAAGCTTGTGATGCTCAGCAGTTCTCAGATCTCGACTTCCTGAGTAGCTAAGTTTATAGGTGTGAGCCATGAGCCATGGATGCCTTATTTATTTATTTATTTTGGTCACTTGTAAGGTCTGAACTCTGGGCCTGGACACTGTCCCTCAGCTCTTCAGCTCAAGGTTAGCACTCTACCACCTGAGACACAGCACCACTTCTGGCTTTTTCTGCATATGTGGTGCTGAGGAATCTAGCCCAGGGTCTCATGCATGCAAGGCAAGCACTCTACCACTGAGTCACCTTCCCAGCCCCTATTTAAATATTTAGTGCTGGTACCAGGGTTAGAACTCAGGACCTTGCCCTCTTAATTGGCTCACTTGCTTGTGACTGGCACTCTATTGTTTATGTCACATATCTAGGCAGAATTTTTGTTGAGTAATTGGAGATAATAGTCTTTCGGACTCCCCTTCCCCACTTACCTCCACCAACATAACTTCAAAGTGCTATCTTTATAATTTTGGTTAGTTAGAATTATAGGATTGAGGGGCTGGGAAGGTGGCTCAGTGGTAGAGCGCTTGCCTTGCATGCTCGAGGCCCTGGGTTCGATTCCTCAGCACCACATAAGCAAAAAGAAAAAAAAAAGCCGGAAGTGGCGCTGTGGCTCAAGTGGTAGAGCGCTAGCCTTGAGCTGAAGAGCTGAGGGACAGCACCCAGGCCCAGAGTTCAGGCCCCACGACCGGACCCAAAAAAAAAAAAAAAAAGAATTACAGGATTGAGCCACTGGCATCTAGCTCTTTTCTCACTTTAAAAAGGGGTGCAAGGCTGTGCTGGTGGCTTATGCCTATAATCCTAGCTACTCAGGAGGCTGAGATCTGATGATCGAGGTTCAAAGCCAGCTAGGGCTGGGCCTCCGTGTGACTCTTATCTCCAATAAACCACCACAAAACCAGAAGTGGTATTGTAGCTCAAGTGGCAGAGCACTAGCCTTGAGCTGAAGAGCTGAGGGACAGCGCCCAGTCCCAGAGTTCAAGCCCCATGACTGACAAAAAAAATAAAAGGGGTACAAATCAGAGATGACTTTTTTTTTTTCCTTTCCACTGCATCAGCTTTCTTGGAGTAAGCTGGAGGACACAAGTTCCAACATGCTGAAAATGAAAGAGGAGAAAGAGAACCTGTTCCTTGCTGATGTCCTCAGGCTGCTGAACTTCCACCCCAGAATTTCTCTATGGTTAGACTTCCTGTTACATATATATCTGTTACATATATATCTGTCTCCTTGTCTCCTTTTTCCTTTCCTCCTGGGGCTTGAACTCAGGGCCTAGGCACTGTTCCTGCGCTTTTTGCTCAAGGCTAGTGCTCTACCACTTGAGCCACAGAGCCACTTCTGGTTTTCTGGTGGTTAATTGGAGATAAGTCTCAAGGTAGCTGGGCGTTGGTAGCTCACGCCTGTAATCCTAACTACTCAGAAGACTGAGATCTGAGGACTGCAGTTCAAAGCCAGCCCAAGAGGAAAGTCCATGAGATGCTTATCTACAATTAACCACTAAAAAACTGGGAGTGGCACTGTGGCTCAAGTGGTAGAATGCTTGCCTTGAGCTAAAGAGCTCAGTGACAGTGCTCAGGCCCAGTGTTCAAGCCTGACAACTGACCCCTCCCCCCCCCCCAAAAAAAAAATCCTAGGAATCCTATACCCTCCTCTAAGCAGCAAAAAGTTGGTAATGACTATTCCTTTATTCCTTCCTGTGCTGGAGGCCTGGGGCAGGAATGAAGAAACACAGAAGTTCAAGCAGTGTCTGGCTGGGGAAGATCTGGGGAAAGAAGAAGGAGGAAGAGAAGGGAGGAATGGAGACTACCTCAGTTGTGGCAGGAAATTTAAAAGTCATTTGGGACCACCCAGGAAGCAGTGGTGTGAGTATGGGTGGGCATATGTGCATGTATGCACATGTGTGTCTTGGTGCTGGGGGCAGGCAGGCAGGCAGAGAAAAACATCTGCTTGGGACCCTAGGGCTGGCCTGGAGTATGAATGCTTGGAAGTCTGCAGAAGGCTGGGGGTAGGGTGGGGATGGGGTGGGGATGCCTAACAGGCAGACAGGCTCCAAGAAACATCTGCTCTAGATCCCCAAACTTGCCAGCATTTGAAATAATTCAAGGGTGTGAGACTCTAACCTGGGTCTTGCCTTTGAGTATCGGCCAAGATTGAGGAAAGTGGGGGAGAACCCACAAATTTCTTGGGGAAGAACAAAAAAGAGTTTTGATCCTGTTAAGTAGCTACCATATGAAACCGAGCCTCAGGAAAGAGGCTATGGTGGGATTATTAAGGAGAAACTTTTTACTTAGTGCTTCCCATTAGGAAGTGGCAATGTGTTCTGGCCTTGGCACTCTGTGGCAGGGTAGGGGAGAGGTGGAGGGGAGGGTGGGGTAAGGGAGGTGGTCTGGAGTTCTATTTGGCTGCAAGAGGTGTGGGGGCAGGAGTCTGGCTCAGTTAATTTATTTTCGCGGCCTCCCAGCCCTATCTTTTCTATTTCTTCCCTTTTTTCTTCTTTTCTTACATTCCTTCCCTCCCTTCTTTATATCTTGTTTTTCCAGTGTGGCCAAGGCTAGCTATGAATTCCTGGGCTTAAGTGAACTTCCTGCTTGAGAGCTGGGACTTTGGGTCCAAACTTTTTCTAATTTTCCTAGTCAGAAATGCTTTTCCTTAGCCAGGCACTGGTGGCTCATACCTGTAATCCTAGCTACTCAGGAGTCTGAGATCTGAGGATCATGATTTGAAGCAAGCCCAGGGAAGGAAAGCCTGTAAGACTCTCATCTCCAATTAATCACAAAAAAGCCAGAAATGGAGCTGTGGTCCAAATGGTAGAACACTAGCCTTGAGCAAAAGAGCTCAGGGACCGAGTTCACACCCCAGGACTGGCACTAAAAAAAAAGGTGACTTTTCTTTTCTTCTCTTTCTTTCTTTCCTTCCTTCCTTCCTTTCTTTCTTTCTTTCTTTCTGTCGTGGGGCCTGAAATCTGCCCTCAGCTCTTCAGCTCAAGGCTAGCACTCTACCACTTGAACCACAGCCCACTTCTGGCTTTTGTTCCTTATGTGGTGCTGAGGAATTAAACCCAGGGCCTCATGCATGCAAGGCAAGCAGTTTACCACTGAGCCACCTTCCCAGCTCTTCTTGTCTTTTCTTATATAACATAATCGTATTCTGCTCTGATTATACTTTATTTATTTAGCCAGTCCTGGGGCTTGAACTTAGGGCCTGGGCACTTTCCCTGAGTCCTCTATCATTTGAGTCACAGTGCTACTTACAGTCTTTTTTTTTTTTAAATTTAATTTTGTTGTAAAGATTCTGTACACAGGGGTTACAGTTACATGAGTAAGGTAATGCATAATTTCTTTCTTTCTTTCTTTTCTTTTCTTTTTTGTTAGTGGTGGGGCTTGAACTCTGGGTTTGGGCGTTATCTCTCAGCTCTTCAGCTCAAGGTGAGCACTCTACCACTTGAGCCACAGTGCGACTACCAGTTTTCTGAGTGGTTTATTGGAGATAAGAGTCTCAGACTTTCCTGCCCAGGCTGGCTTCGAACTGCACGATCCTAAGATCTCAGCCTCCTGAGTAGCTAGGATTACAGGCGTGAGCCACTGACTCCCAGCATGAGTACATTTCTTTCTTTCTTTTTTTTTTTTCTTTTTGGGTCTGGTCGTGGGGCCTGAACTCTGGGCCTGGGCACTGTCCCTCAGCTCTTCAGCTCAACACTAGCACTCTACCACTTGAGCCACAGCGCCACTTCCAGCCTTTTCTGTTTATGTGGTGCTGAGGAATCGAATCCAGGGCCTCATGCATGCAAGACAAGCACTCTACCACTGAGCCACCTTCCCAGCCCTCTCGCTTTTTCTGTTTATGTAGTACTGAGGAATCAAACCTAGGGCTTCATGCATGCTAGGCAAGCACTCTACCACTAAACCACATTCCCAGCCCATATACTGTATTTTTTTTTTTTTTTGGGTCCGGTCGTGGGGCCTGAACTCTGGGCCTGGGTGCTGTCCCTCAGCTCTTCAGCTCAAGGCTAGCGCTCTACCACTTGAGCCACAGCACCTCTTCCGGCTTTTTTCTTATGTGGTGCTGAGGAATCGAACCCAGGGCCTCAGGCATGCAAGGCAAGCCCTCTACCACTGAGCCAACTTCCCAGCCCCTATATACTGTATTTTAATAGTATATATTTTACTTTCTATGCTACTTAAAAGATGGGTCTTGTTTTAACTGTCTTTATAAATCCTGCTGGTACTATAGAAAATAACATAGGCCCAGAGGCTAATGCCTATAATCCTAATCTTGGGAGGATGAGATCTAAGGGCTGTGGTTCAAAAGCAGCCCAAGCACCAGAAACACCAAAGTAGAGCTGTGGCTCAAGTGATACAGTCTAGCCTTGTGCAAAAAAAACTCAGGGACAGTGCCCAGGCCCATTAGGCCTGGTTCCCCCCCCCCCCCCCCCGCCCCCACACGGTTGGGAATAAAAGCTAAACAAATGCACAGAATCAAAGATAAATATTCAATGTTCTATTCACAGATGCTACCATCTATAGGTATACATTTATGGGTATGACAGCCCAACTGCACAGGTTCTGGTCAGGAGATGCTCCATCCAGTCCCTTGGTTAGGCTTGCTAGGGCTTGGTGGTTAGCTCCTTATTTTGGGTTCAACATACTCTGTTCATTGTCCATCACTCACCTTCTACCCAGAGTTGTTCCAGGTCAGTCTCAATAACAGCCACACGGAGACCCAATGCCAGGGCCCCAAAGGCCAACAGTCCCAGGAAGAGCACTTTGCCACAGTGTCTCTGGATCCTGCAGCCCAGAGAGAAGAGCAGGCCCTGGAAGTAAGCACGAAGCCAGAGCGGAGCTTTCAGGCTCCCAGCTAGGATCTGGGATGGAAAGAGAAGGGTCAGCCAGGTGTCACTTCAACACTGCATGAAATTCTTCCCTTCTGTCCCTATGTACACCTTCTAGCAAGCTGTAGTCCCTGGACTTCTGGATGCAGGCCAGAAAACACCTTCACAAACAAGCCCAAACTGGGAAATATAACTCCTTTCCTTCTGCTCTGAGAAAGGCACAGACCCTTTTTCTGAGAGTAGGACGCGCGCGCGCGCGCGCGCGCGCACACACACACACACACACACACACACACACACACCCCTCTGATGTTAGGTGGCCACAGAGGTGAACCCATAGGCACACTCATTCTCACTGTTCAGATGACAAGGAAACACAGACACAACTTACACAACCATGCTAGCTCTCACTTGTCTTCATACACCCAGTGACATAAGACAACATGCACTGTACGAGCCCAAGTGACAGATCTGGTCCCACGCTTTCCAGCTTCTCAACTCACCTGAGGTGCAACGGATCGAATTGGAGGTGTGTGGCAGCATCGGGGCAATTCTTCCAGGGGTGGCGGCCGAGCCATGCTGGAGGGGATGGGGGGCGCGGACGCCCCCAGCTTGTGTTATCTGAGCACTCCCATAGGCTAGCCTGGTCCCACTGTACACGCGATCCGCGTGAGATTCTACTGGGGCTGGAAGCAGCGTAGTCGTGAATCTTCAGGGTGCAGGTTCGCAGTGGTGGTTTGAGAGGGAGAAGTGCCAGGCAGTGGCTCGGGGCGAGGCGCCAAGGTTAGCCTTGTCAGGCGCACTGTGGACAGCAGGGGCCAAAGTAGGTAGAACTGGAGGGCACAGACACACCTCGCAGCTCCGAGTAGCGACCACAGTGCCGGGGTGGTGGCTGGAGTCCCAGAAAAAGGGAGCTCGGGAGACGCCCTCCCATTGGCTGAGCCAGCTGCAAATTACCCAGAGCCGCGCAGCCGGATCCGCTGCTAGGTAACTGCGCCGCAGGGGGCGGGGCTGGAGACCACCCAGGCTGGGCCACCCCTGGCCTCGCCTCCCCCGCCTGCCTCCCGCCCACCCTCGGGGGCCCTTCGGGAGGAGAAGGGAGGGAGATTCCCGGGCCGCCGCGAGCTGGCCAAGTGCAAGTCTGGATGCTGAGAAAGCGCGGCTGTTGGTCCCACTGGAGCCATACTTTCTTCCCAACACAGCCCAAACCTAAAGACTTCACTCTTCTTGATGGGCTCCAGGCTATTTCCACGGGGACAAGAGTCTTCTCTCTAAAACGCAAGTGGATGAAAACTCCAAAAACTAGGCCCATTTGAAGCACAGGGCCCTACACCCTGAACAATCTAACACCTTTTCTTTCCTTTTTTTTTTTTTTTGTCTATCGTGGGGCCTGAACTCTGGGCCTGGGCGCTGTCCCTCAGCTCTTCAGCTCAGGACTAGAGATTCTACCACTTGAGCCACAGTGCCACTTCCGGCCTTTTCTGCTTCTGTGGTGGTGAGGAATTGAATCCAGGGCCTCATGCGTGCAAGGCAAGTACTCTACCACTAAGCCACTTTCCCAGCCCAACATTTTTTCTTTCCCATAAGTCTCTCACACCCACCCAATATTCCTTCCAGCTCTGGAGAGCCAGGTCATTTCATAAGTGCATCATGTTGTACCTTGGATTTCTGCCTCTGTACATGTGGCTCTTTTATCTTGGCAGATAATCTTAGAAAACTGAACTGAATTAATCACCCCTCTGAAGCATTCATTGATTCATACCTCTCTCCTGTCAGAGAATTGCCTCTGCTGCTGTTGCTTCCTCCTCCTCTTCTTCTTCTTCATTGTTGGTTGTGGGGCTTGAACTCTGGGCCTGGGCTCTGTCCCTGAGCTCTTCAGCTCAAGGTGAGCACTCTACCACCTGAGCCACAGTGCCACTTTCAGTTTTGTTGGTTAATTGGAGATAAGAGTCTCAGGGACATTCCTGCACAGGCTGGCTTTGAACTGGGATCCTCAGATCTCAGCCTCCTGAGCAGGTAGGGTTACAGGCATGAGCCACCAGTTCCCTGCTAGAGAATTGCTTCTTTGTGGTTCTTATAACACTCAGTTTATACATAATTATTGCATTACTGATGAAATAAGCTATCTAGAGTGCTGCAAACTTGCTTTCCTCACTAGATAGTAAGTGCTCAATAACTGTGAACCATTGAAAATTGTAGAAACTTGGGTGTAAGACACTGGAAATGAAAGAGGGAGTTATGGGGCTGGGAAGGTGGCTCAGTGGTAGAGTGCTTGCCTTGCATGCATGAGGCCCTGGGTTCGATTCCTTAGCACCACATAAGTTTACTGTTGTGTTTGTTTGAATTCTTTCAATATGTTATAACATGCCAGACATACATGTAGCAGCCATATTTGCATGGGAACTGACTACACATTTATCATACTGCATTTTGTTGTATGGTTTTCACATAAATACAGCAATTACCTTGATTAAATTGAGTTTTTTTGATATATGAGAAAACTTTCCATTGTAAGAGAATCTTGCATACAATGTTGACATATATTAAACATCCAAATAAAGCATCTGTGTACAAGCTTAAAAAAAAAAAGAGGGAGTTATTCCATCTGAGTATGCTATTTCTTTTTTTTTTTTTTTTTTGTTTTTGGGTCCGGTAGTGGGCCTAAACTCTGGGCCTGGGCGCTGTCCCTCAGTTCTTCAGCTCAAGGCTAGTGCTCTACCACCTGAGCCACAGCGCCACTTCCAGCTTTTTTCTTTTTGCTTATGTGGTGCTGGGGAATCGAACCCAGGGCCTCAAGCATGCAAGGCAAGCGCTCTACCACTGAGCCACCTTCCCAGCCCCATGAGTATGCTATTTCTATCTGATTCTTAACTGACAACCTTGAGTGGAAAAGTAGGGTAAATTAATATTTCAATATGTAGAGAAAGAGAAAAGGAATCTGCAATAAATTCATGAATCTAACACAAGTATTATCTTTGGCCAACTTTGAGTCAATTCTTCCAGACTTCTTTGTCATTACATCGTAAATATTTTGTGTTACTACATAGTCTTTGTATCAGTCATTTGCAATGTTCTTAGAATAGATTCCCAGAAATAGGGTTGTTTGGGTCAAAAAGTATAAACTTTTTTTTTTCCAGTCCTGAGGTTTGAACTCAGGGCCTAGGCACTGTCCCTGAGCCTCTTTGCGCTCAAGGCATAAGGCTAGCACTGTACCATTTGAGCCACAGCTCTACTTCTGGCTTTTTCTGAGTAGTTAATTGGAGATAAGAGTCTTGTGGATTTTCCTGCCTGGGCTGGCTTCGAACCATGATCCTCAGATCTCAGTCTCCTGAGTAGCTAGGATTATAGGCGTAAGCCACTGGCACCTGGTTACTATAAACTTTTTTTCTTTTTCTTTTTTTTTTTTTTTTATTGGTTGTGGCTCTTGAACTCTGTGTCTGGGTGCTGGATGCTGTCCCTGAGCTCTTCAGCTCAAGGATAGCACTGTACCACTTGAACTACAGTGCCACTTCTGGCTGTTTCTGTTTATGTGGTGCTGGGGAATTGAACCCAGGGCCTCATGCATGCATGCAAGGTAAGCACTCTACCGCTGAGCCACCTTCCCAGTCCTATAAACGTTTTCATGGTCTTGCTACACATTGACAAAACAACTTTTACAGAATTTGTGTACATTAATATCACCTCTGGGACCTCAGTTCCTGGGAAGGAAAACTTTAGGTTGAGGGGGTGAATAGCAGGTTTTCCACTTCCATTGGTTTATTAATGCAGCAAAATACCTTGTTAGTCAAGTGGTCTACTGGTGAGCTACATCTCGAGCCCATTTTTGCACTAGTTACTTTGAGATTGGGTCTTGCTTTTTTGCCTAGGTGCACACCTGGACCTCCATGCTGAAGTTCTATGGAGTTGAAATCTTATGAACTTTTTTTTTCCTAGGCTGGCCTGGAACCAAGATCCTCCCAATATCAACCTCATGAGCATCAGTCATTGGTAAGGGTTATGTGTCTTCCGCTTACACCAAAGAGTTACAAAGAGAAAAGCAAGTATCATCAAGGATATAATTACTAATCAATTAGACAAACATGTCTACCTATTTGCTGCACTTTGGAGGGGAGCATGGAGATCACGGGGAAAATTATTGTGAACTGGGGTACTAAGGGTGTACTGGGTTCCAGAAGTGAGAAGAACTAGATGAGAAAGGTGGGAGAAGGCATGGTTCAAGGTCTGTGTATTTTTAATATATGCTGTGAGATATTAGGCAAGTCACATTGACATAAAGATTAAAAGAGATAATACATATGGCTGAAGAATGGTACCAGGAAAAATAGGGTGGGGGCTGGGAAGGTGGCTCAGTGGTAGAGCGCTTGCCTTGCATGCATGAGGCCCTGGGTTCGATTTCTCAGCACCACATAAGCAAAAAGAAAAAAGCTGGAAGTGGCTCTGTGGGTCAAGTGGTAGAGCGCTAGCCTTGAGCTGAAGAGCTGAGGGACACATCCAGGCCCAGAGTTCAGGCCCCATGACCGGACCCCCCAAAAAAAAGAAAAAAAAGAAAAGAAAAATAGGGTGGGTGCACATTATGACTAAGTGTTGGTGGAAAGGGGCCAATCCATATGGGAGTCAAAGGGAGCCAGGTCAAGCCTTTTTTTTTTTTTGGTCGGTTGTGGAGCTTGAATTCTGGGCCTGGACGCTGTCCCTCAGCTCTTCAGCTCAAGGCTTGAGCCACTTGAGCCACAGCGCCACTTCTGGCTTTTTCTGCTTATATGGTGTGGAGGAATAGAACCCAGGGCCTCATGCATGCAAGGCAAGCATTCTACTGTTAGGTTTTTAAAAAGAGGTGGCCAAGTAAGAACAGCACCTCGCACGTGGTATTCAGGTAAAGAGTGGGTTTATTCATCATTCCGGCTGGCACCAGGCCATCTTGGTCCTCCACGCGGTGGGGAAAGGCCTGGGAAAGAGAGAGAGCTGGGAAAGCGAGAGAAAAGAGCTAGAAAAGAGAGAAAAGATCTAGAAAAGAGAGCATCTGGGTCTGGGCTAGGCCTTATCTAGGGTATGGGTGGAGAAAGGTGTGGCCACATCAAATTCAGATGTGACCTCAGCGGATGCAGATGTGACCTCTTCAAGGTGTCCCAGTTGCCTAGGTAACACAGGTACTGGGTGAGATCTGTTCACCATCCAGGAATGGACCTTACATCTACCACTGAGCCACCTTCCCAGCTCTAGGTCAAGCCTTCTTATCTGAACATTCCTTCAGGCTTTTCTCTCTGCTTTCTGCTTCTATTATCCAGACTAGGCAGATTCAATGACCCTGCCTTGTAGAAGAAGGAAGCAGGGTAATTTTCAATCTCACTAGGTCAAGCCTGGCATATGTGCCCATTCCCTGCTGGCAACTTGAGGCCAGTAGCATCTAGCAAATCTTTAGTGACAAGGTTTGCAACTACAGATCAGAGAATGGCCCTTCACCCTGAATATGGAGAAAAAGAGACCTGAAGCCGGGCGCGGTGACTCACGCCTGTAATCCTAGCTACTCAGGAGGCTGAGATCTGAGAATCATGGTTTAAAACCAGCCAGGGCAGGAAAATCC